ACAAGCCTATAACCCCCTGGCACAGCAGCGCCCATTGCATAAAGAACATTCTAGCCTGGAGCTATCCAATCAAAATTTATTATATCATTTAAATCAAAACAACAAAACTGGTTTAAACCAGTTTATTATTTTAACAATAACAACAATAACAATAACAACAATTGATTTGAACCAGTTTACCTATTCAATCATTATTACTATAATAACAATTATCACAATAAACAACTTCTAAGTATATTCTACTATTCGTGTTAAAAAAAATCAAGTGGAATTATACAGGAGGTAAAAATTTTATCACCAGTTTTAAATTATCTAACCAGTTAATCCATTTTTATTAAAAAGACACCTTATAGAAACATATGTTAATACTTAATAGATTATCTATTATATCATATTTTTAAGACTATATAGCTATAGATAGTGATTCAGTACATATATATATAGTATCTTATAGTAGATACTCTGAAACTATAATTCTTGATTGACACAAACTATCAAATATAGGAGCATAAATATCAAGTAAGATGTGATATTATATTTTCCTAGTAGATACTTCAAGGAAATTTAATTGACTTAAGCTATCAAATCTAAGAATATAAATATCAAATAGAGCACAACTTTTATATATAGATAGTATAAGCCATTTATTTACACTACATATTTGATATTCAAGTAAATAATCTCTTTAAAACTTCTTATTTTGTATTAATATGTTGTACTATAAATCTGTCATGTCAGGAGGGTTGTAAGCTATTATTGAAATTAGATTAGAAGTCTTTTCTTATATAATTTTTTCTACTTTGATCTGTTTTCAGCTTGCGATTATTAAAAAGATCAGAGGTTCCATCTTCATGCAACCTAATTAAATTTGGTTAATATTTAAATATTTGAATATTATATCTATAAAAAAATCAATAAATCCACAAATAAAAAATATATTTTATGTTTTTTTGTCTTCTGTAAATATTAAACTATACATATGATAAAAATTGATAGATTCTTAATACAATTTGATACAATTATTTAATACAATTAATTGAGTTATTATTAAAACATATAAAATAATTAAGTCAAATATAATTATTTTTGTGAATTTTGACAATTGAGTCAACAACAAAATAATTTATATTACATGTATATATTAAATTAAAGACATGTATTTAAAAATCTGAAAGTACTATCTACTGTGTTATTGATTTACAGGTTAATAGTATATATTTATTATATATTCAAATAATATATTAAAAATATATATTGTTAGTAGGGAAGCAATATAAAGCATGATTACATAATACACTTCAATGCATCTCATGTTTCAATTTTTAATAACTAGTAAATAATAGTCTATAACAATATTTTAGCTTTTAGATAAGATATAGTTTCAAATAGTTTATTATTTAGCATAACAAAATAATAGCAGATAATTTATTTTAGCTTAATAAGATAGTATAATATAACATCAGCAATGTGATATAACATACTAATATAAAAAGAAGTGAAATATGAAAATTTCGTAACATATAATTATAATAAGATTCAGTAAAATACAATATATTATTAATAAAGAAGATCACTTTAATTAAAAACTTCTTAATTAAGACACATGATCGATGTTTTGAAAAGAGGAAAATCTAATTAGCTTACCTAATCCAGTACTTGTTGCAAGGAAGAATGATTGGAAACCACAAAGAAAAGTGATAAAGATTTCATCAAGGAAAGCAACAATAAAAAGAAAAGAAAAAATTAATAAGACTTGGCTATGGTTCTGAAAATTGGAATTATATAGACTTGCATAGACTTGTATACATATAAAAACATAACTGGATTATAACCTATCTATTAAATTTACTATAAAAATTGAAATTAAATGGAATCAAATATAGAATTATTAGGATTCTTAGACTCAGCTGAACAAAAATCATATGCCTTAAGTAAAAAAGTCTAAATCTTATCTAATATTATGCAAGAAAAGCTCTGAAGAAACAATAGACTTGCTGAACAAGATATTAACAATATATTGTTAGTGATGTTAGCAAGGAAAAATGAGTAGGGTTATCCAGATCGCTGATAGTCACGTGACTAGATGTAAAGCAGCAGATTATAAATTAGAAAGTTTAATTAGTCTAAAGTTTGTTTTGTATAACACGACAGAAACTTAGTAGACATGTCGCTCATAGTATAAATATAGCTAGACTTGACTAATAATAAGGAGGAGAGAAACAGAAAAATAGAAATAGTTGTAGACACAAAAGTAATAAAGAAGCTTGCTTATTAAAAATACCATTTGTACTTATTATAATAACATTAATACACTTACCTTGCAAGAGTTATTGGCCATTGTAGGAATCCTAGAAGCCCAAAAGGAATTGTGGTAAAGGATTAGACTGGCAATACAAAAGAAGGAAGTCTATTAATACATATCTTTGGTTAAGCAAACGATTTCTGACCCCTATCCTTATTAATATGCAAGTCCTAGCTTCAGATTAGCTGTATACCGATAACATTTGGTGGAGAACTGAAGTATTTCAATTAGAAACAACATTCATTATCTCCTCTGGTAAAATTGTACAAACAGAAAAAAAGTTTATAGTAAGTAAAAGTTCAATTGAAAGAAAAACAAGAGTAAGCCAAAAATAATACCTTCATGAAGATCTGTTGCAAGAACCCATGATACATTGTAATCAAAATCACATAAAAAATGATGAATTTCAGATTTGATGATGATTTAGAAGTAAACCTGATTGATTTCAGCATACCGCAAGCAAAAAGAAAGAGAGGTGCCAGTATCTTACGAAATGTAACAAATTCAATCAGCAGCTTAAACCTAGCATGTCAAGAACCAAAGGTGGAGCTGAGGGAAGAAAGAGAAGTCTACTGGATCAAGGTACAAGAATTCAGAGGCAAAGAATTCAAAGACCCATACGTATGGCTGGAATTATACAAAAAGGCAACAAGATCCAACAACTGGATGAACAAAAAGAAATTAAGAATGGTGGTTAGTTACCTGAAAGGCATGGCGTCAGACTAGTATAAAGACTACTAAGACCAACTAGAGCATTGGAACAATGAGCAAGAACATTGAAAGAGCTTCGTATCAAATTTTCTGCACTGTTTCATATCAACAGAACAGCGATGCCGATAGCAAACGGAACTGTTCAGTCTAAAGCAAAGGGATAACAAGAAAGTAATGGCCTATGCTCATAGATTTCGGAGGTTGTTAAAGAGGATCGACTCTGACAGCAATTACTCAAAAACCTGCGTGGTAAACATGTTCGCAAATAGACTAAAGGAAAGAATAGTGTCAATATCTGCTGTGAAAAACATAGCCATGCTAATCAAGGCAATCTATGAAGCTAAGCAGTTCGAAGACGAAAAAGGTTTTGAGACCCATCATGGAAGCGAAGAAACAGAAAAAACACGAAAAATGAAAAATGATATTCAAGAACTGCTAAAACAAGTAAGGGAAATGAAAGAAAGTTACAACAAACCAGAATCAAATGGATATGGCAGTCAATTGAAGCCTATAAATACAAATGAGCGGAGTTGTTTCACATGTGGCAAAAAGAGTCATATTGCCAGAAACTGCACCAAGAAGAACTGATCGGCAAATGGATCTAATCAGGTCAATGAAGTGCAATTCCTCGATATCAAAGATAACAAAAAAGCCAAAAGAAAAGCTTATGCTGGTGAAGATCGTGATATAAGAGGGAAAAGAAAGGAAGCATTAGAGCCAAGTTCGCAATGGGACGGATGATTAAGGAACAGACCAAAACATGATACATGAACCGATAGATACGACGATGATGATCAGCTACTGATCAATATTGACGAGGAAATGGAGAAAGCAGTGCTGACCATAAGAAAATCACGACGGAAGAGAGAACCATCAGAAATTGAAAAGATGCTGTCCTATAATATTCTAAAAGATATCTTTGCAGCACTTGCAAATGTCATGATTGGGCAAATGCTACAGTTCCAAGGACCAAGGAAAATGGTAGCAAAGGTGATGCACAGACCGCTCATCGAGGTGGAAACAAACTATATCACGACAAAAGTAAAAGAGAAAAAAGAGGTAAAGACGAAAGAAAAGGAAAAAAAGACAATGTCAGCGAGATGTCAAGTAAAAATCAAAAATACTAGAGTAGAGGCAGTCATTGACACGGAAGCCACCATGAGCATTATCTCAAAGAAATTGATGGACCGGCTAAAACTGAAAATCAATGAGAAATCAATAATAACAATAGTATCCATTACAGGTATAAGGACTAGGGCATTAGAAAACATTAATAACCTGAAAATATCAATATAAGGAATGTTGATTCCAATACCAGTACAAGTGATTGATTCCAAGGACAAGATACTAATCTTAGGAAATGACTGATTTGAAAAGGTCAAGACAAGGATCTATATTGATGATCAAAAGTTAGTACTAAAATACGAGGGTCGAAAGATCAAGGTTTCGATTATCAATGATAGAGCAAGAAAGGTGCCCACTAACGAAACTGATGATGATGAGCAATATAATGAAGAACAGACTAATAAACTGTTAGACGAAATTGTATATAAGAAAGAAAAAATAAAAGAAAAAGAAGGGTATTATACAAGGGAGTCATATAGTAATTCAGATTCCAATGATAACATACAATCTGGGTCAGATAATGACTCAAGATCCAACGATGAGACAAGATCTGAGGGATCAAGCCTTGTTGTGTACTTCGCCCAGATCGGAGAATCGTTGACATCAGAAGAAGAGGAAACAAGTGAAGAAATGAGTATCAAAAAGAGTAACAAGACAAACACCATTATGGAGAAAATTCAAGTGGAAGTACCAGAGGAATCAAGCTATACTGAGGATGAACAAATCATTAAATCAACAATCAGCAATGATATCAGCATGCTCGAAGAAGATGCTGTGGCACTAATTGAGAAACTGCCGACACTGATGAAGCTGATACAAGAAGAGAAATTAGAAGAAAAAATTAAGAAACTGGAGATGGATGTTGAACTCAAAGAGGAACAGGTAAAACAGATAAAAAACATGTTGAAGCAAGAGCATGACGTGTTTGTACAATCCATATCGGAGTTGGGTTGCACCAAAATCGTTGAACATGAAATCGATACTGATGAGGCAAGCCCAATCAAGCAAAATGCCTACAGAACTATCCAGACATTCGAGAATTTATAAAAAAAGAAATAGCTCACTTAGAGGAGTATGGATTAGTATGAGAATCAAAGAGCCCGAGTTCATCTTCGATAGTCATAGTGCTGAAAAAAGATAGAAAACTTAAGCTATGTGTAGACTATCAAAAAATCAATACAGTGATAAAAAAGAACACATACTTTTTACCATTAGTAGATGGCCTAATTGAAGTATACACTAGTGCATGATGGTTTAGTACCATCAATCTTATGTCAGACTATTGGCAAGTAAAAGTACACGAAAAAGACAGGAAGAAGATGGCATTTGTTACATTTGCAGGGATATACGAATTCACATTTATACTATTTGGACTGTGTAATACTTCAGCAATGTTTCAGCATCTGATAAATATACTGTTACATGAATACATTGGAAAATTCATGATGGTTTACCTGAATGATATAACCATCTACTTCAAAACAGTGGAAGAACACTCGATGCATATCCAAGCCATACTAATCAAGATCAGGAAGACCAGATTAAAACTAAACCTAAGTAAATGCACATTCTTTCAGGCACATATAGACTTCTTAGGTCACGTGATCAGCAGAGATGGAGTTAGACCTGATGAAGCTAAGATCGACAAAGTAAAGTATTTGCCAGTGCCAACAAATGTACGCCAGCTACATGGATTTATTGGTTTTGTGTTATATTACCGATGGTTTATTCAAGGATTCTCTACGATCATGCAACTACTATACTATTTGACAAAGAAGAATGTTAAATATAAATGGCAGGACGATCAGGATCAAGCCTTTAAGCGGCTGAAACAACATCTCATTACTGCCCCGGTTCTAAGATATCCAGACTATAACAAAACGTTTTATGTACATATTGACGCATCCAGGCATGGGCTAAGAAACGTGCTGGCATAGAAGAATATGGATAGTCAGGAGTATGTGATCGCCTATGCCAGTCATGGATTAACTAAGCACGAGCAAAACTATGTCGTGACAGAATTGGGGTGTCTAGCTATAATCTGGGCAATTAAGTATTTTCAACACTATTATGGATTGAACACTTTATAGTAGTTACGGACCATAAGGCATTCAAGTGGTTGCAAATGTTTAAGCTAATGGGAAGACGAACAAGATGGATTCTCTGGTTACAAGCTTTCAATTTTACTGTTGTACACTACAAAGGTGAGAAACATAGCAATGTTGACGCATTGTTCTGTTTCTAGTACCATACAACTTTACCAGAAACAAAAAAAGGAGATAAGGGGAAGGAATAAGGAGAATAGAGTAGTTGAGAGAAAAAAAAAATTCGAGGAACAGAATCCAGTCCAGGTTCTTGTGTCCTGAAGTGCACACAAAAAAAAAAAATAGAAACAGAATACTATAATCATCTCTGAAACTATCTCCAATACAAAAAGGTTTTAACAACATTTAATATAAAAAAAGACACGAGTTGCAACAAAAGAGTAAAAATTACATGTTTAAAGATGGTATCCTTTACCAAAAGAATAGACAAGACCAGGATTGCTTATTATATGTGCTCCAAAAGCATAAAGTTGAACCCATTTTATTTCTAATACATTGTTACCCTTTGGGCAGATATTTTAATAAAGATATAATGTTTACAAAGATTAAAGTTAGCTACTATTGGCCACGAATGTACGATGACATATGTAATTATACTCAGCATTATAACCAATGTTAGCGGTAAGATAAAATGCATATACCGGATCCCTTACAATCAATACTAATTTTGATGCCTTTTCACCAAATCGGCATCAATTTCATAGGACCTTTGCCCTGTATCCCTAGAATGAAGAGATATATCATCGTCGCTATGGATTACATGACAAAGTGGCTGGAAGCAGTCTCCATTGAGAGAGCAGATGTGTCCACCATAGTTGACTTCATATACGACAATATTATTTGCTATCATAGTTGTTCTGAAAAGATCATTACAGATTGTAGTACTTACTTTAAGAACAAAATAATGCAAATAATGTTAAAAAAGCTCTGAAGTAAGCAGAAGTTTACAATGCCATACCATCCACAAACTAATGGATTGGTAGAGCACTTTAACCATACCTTGTGCAAAACCATAGCCAAACTGATACAGCATGTAACCAATTGGGACTTACTGATCCTATTTATCCTCTTCGCCTATTGTATATCCAAGTATGCCACAACAGGAATGATACCTTTCTATCTTGTCTACAGACATGAGGCTCGTTAGCTGATACACCCAAGTATAACAGATGAATTATTAGATGGAACCATACTACAACAGAAGTATAACTTAGTAGAATACCTATCTAGAGTAAGAGAATGAATTATGGACCGAGTGAGTAAAGCACAAGCAAAGCAGAAAGCCTACTATGACACTAACAAAGAATTAGTTAAACTATTTGATATTGGTGACAAAGTGTTGATATATTGTGTAGCATTAGAGCATTCACAAAGCAATAAATTTGCCGATAAATAGAGTGGATCATATTATGTACACAACATACTTACCTATGATATATACAAGTTGCAAACCACTGATGGACAAGTATTGGCTAGTCCTATCAATATCAAGATCCTAAAAAAATATTATAAGTTGGAGGTTTTAGTATAATTATATGTGCAGAGGTGTATAAAAATAAGTATGGGGGAAGTGTTCGCAGGAAAAAATGAGTAGAATAATCCAGATTGCTGATAGTCATGTGACTAGATGTGAAATGGTAGATTATAAATTAGAAAGTTTAATTAGTCTAAAACTTGTTTTGTATAATGCGATGGAAGCTTAGTAGACATGTTGCTCATAGTATAAATATAGCTAGACTCGACTAATAATAAGAAGAAGAGAGATAGAAAAATAGAAATAGTTGTAAACACAAAAGTAATAAAGAAGCTCGCTTATTAAAAATACCATTTGTACTTACTATAATAACATTAATACACTTACCTTGCAAGAGTTATTGGCCGTTGTAAGAATCTTAGAAGTCCAAAAGGAATTGTGGTAGAGGATTAGACCGACAATACAAGAAAAGGAAGTCTATTAATATATACCTTTGGTTAAGCAAACGATCCCTAACTCCTATCCTTATTGATATGCGAGCCCTAGCTTCGGATTAGTGACTGACTCACCGTATATTGATAACAGTGGGGATAGGACATAATAGTATTATATGCCCTGGCATGTCTCATGCTCCAATTTTCAATAAATAATGAATAATAGTCTATAGCAATACTTTATAATTTTAGAGTTTATATTGATTATAATTTCAAATAGTTTATTAGCTAGCATAAAGAAAATAAATCGATAATCTATTTTAGCTTAGTCAGATAATATGATATAATATCAATAGTGAGACATGACATAATATTACAAAAAAAAGAAGAGGGATAAAAATCATATAATATATATTACATATAACATATAACATATAACATACAAGATACAACGATTGTTTTAATTAAAAAAACCCCCTAATTAAGATACATGATCAATATTGTAGAAAGAGTAAAAACTAATTAGTTTATCTAATTGAATACTTGTCACAAGCAAAGAATAATAGGAAACCACAAAGGAATATGATAAAGGTTTTATCAAGGAAAGTGACAACAGAAAAAAAAAAAGGAATCAGCAAGACTCAACTGAACAAAAATTATATATTTCAAATAGAGAAGGCCTAAATCTTACCTGATATTATGTAAGGAGAGCTCTGGAGAAGTAACAAACTTGCTGAATGAAACATTAACAATATAAATATCTTATATTTCTTTTGGAATTGCAAAATTAAACTTTCTCTTATTAATAAAATAACTTAATCTTTATAAAACAAATTACTATTGTTTTTTTTACTTATATTTCATATATCTCAGAATTGTATTACTTTAGTATACTCTTATAAACTTTAGCATATTATATTAATCTATTATATAAAATATCTTCTTGCTACTGGTTTTCTATCTATATCTTTCTTTTAAGGTAGAAATAATATATGATATTATATATATTGTTATTGATATATGATAAGTCTGCTACTAATCCTAAATTAAAACTTATATAATAATAATAATTAGAAGTTTTGGGTTGCTTGTTAATCAAAAATATACTATATATTAATAGACTTCATTCTTTTATATTATTATATAATTTTTTATTACAACTTTCTATAATTTATAAGATTCTTATAATAGTCAATAACTATTCAAAGCAAATGTATTAATTATTGAAATATAAATACAAATGGTTATTATTATTTATAAGTAATATTTTATCCTTTATTGTATCTCTATTTGTTGTCTATCTATTTTTTTTAGTTTGATATTTATTTATACTTGTTGTAATAGTTTGCCAAGTTATAGTCACATTATATAAATTGTTTTTAGATTATTTTAACTTTTACATTCATAATCCACTATATTGCATCAAATTATATAACTATTGATAATTTAAATCCATTTAATAATTTTTTCTACTAATAATATACATTACTTAATATATATCAATTTTTAATAAATAATAAAAAAAAAATACAAAAAATTAAAAATACCAGTTATTTATTAGTAAAAAGCCTAAAAAAATTACAAAATATTAAAACAAATTATTTGAGATTCTTAAAGAAATAAAGATTCATTTATTTGAAAAAGTAAAACTGATTTATAAAGCCTTAAAAGAAAAATAGTTATATATAATTATAGTTAATATTCTTATAAAATATTTAAATATTATTAAAGTCAAATATTTATATATTGTTATAGGGAAATCATGGTAAGTCAGTTGCTTCAATTTGTCTCATGTCATATATATAGGGATATCATTTTGCTCAAAAAAGGCATATGAATTTGGCCAAAGTTTGTAACACTGATACAAATTAATCCATCGATCTTATATCCTAACTTGTTACTCCTTGTATAATAATTTTGTTAGTTATATAATACTGGGGTAATATTACAAGGTAAAGTTTATTAATAAAGACAGTTTATTAATTATTTATTTTACAGTACCTATCCTAATTGTTTCTATTTTTTGAACATTCCCAAGTCATTTATATATATTTTGACTTTATACCTATTATATATATTATTTCGAATATACTATTTATATCAGATATATTCTTTATACTTGATATATCTTTTATATCTGATATTTTACTTATACCTGATATACTTATTCTTATAATTTCCTATTATTTATCTATTATATTTTTTCTATAACAATATCAAATATTTATTTATTATATAGTTAACTAACTTGTTAAAAGAAATTTTGGACAAATATTTAAAGTATACAAAAATAACTTATAAGAAAAATTATAAGACTGTGACTTATTTTAATATAATACTATATTATGTAATTAAAATTAATAAATTCTTGATACAATTGATACAATTATTTGATACAATTAATTGAATCACTATTAAAATATATAAAATAATTAAGTTAGACACAATTATTTTTGAGAACTTTGGCAATTAAGTTAATAGCAAAATAATTTACACCATATATACTATATATAATATCACTTGAAAATTTATCAAATTAAACTTATTATTATTTTGAAGAAGATGCAAAAGAATCAGTAAAAAAATATAAAAAACAAAAGATTACTAAAGAATTATTAATATATTCAATTAAGGTAAAATCAATAGAAGATATAAAAATTATCAAGAAAAATAACTGTAAAAAAAAGAAAAGATATAAAGTAGCAAATTTTGAAGATTTTAGAATAGAAAATTAAGAGAAAAGAAAAAAAATAAAGAAGAAAAATAAGAAACAGAAGATAATAAATAACTTAGTTTATATAAGTGATTTTTTGTTTTATTTAAATTAAATTATTTTATTTTCATATTTTAATAAATTTTTTATCAATTATAATTATTTGCTAAATAATAATGAAATCAAATAATAAAAAATATATATGAAAATTTATCAAATTTTAAACTTAAAATATAGCTAACTTTTTTTTTATTGTAAAAAATATTAAATACAAAACTTTATTAATATATATATATATATACAAATTATATCAAACATTTTTACAGAGTAAAATATATAAATTAATATTAATCTATTTACAATACAAATTACTATTATCCTTGTTACACTTGATATAATTTAAACTAGTTTTAGTATTGAATGTTTAATGCTTTTCTAGAGCTGAGATAAAGTTTTGAAACCTAAATATACTACTTGAATTTGTGGATTGTAAGTTTGTTAAAGTTATAATTAAGGATAGATTTCAAAACTATTTAGTATATAAAATAAAAATATATAAATTTATTTATT